CCCCAAAACCCCAAAACCCCAAAACCCCATCTGTCGGATCCTAATTGCAGATTCAATTAGATAAAATATAGAAATATAGATAATATAAAACTCTTGCTTTACTAATGGAAATTACAAATGCATTTTAACCTAAATGTTAAGGTAAAATCCTTATAATAATAGTCAAATTTAGCGAATCACTCCCTTCATGTAAAAATAGAGAAATTCGACAAATTAGAGCTAATTAGCCAAGCTTAAACAGGGGATGATGATCTTTATCTCTACAGTAACGCAACAGATTCTGATTTTGAAGATGGAAAAAGCTCTGACATAAGAGAACTTGATGAGAGCTCAAAATCTCCGAGTTTTAATAGAAAGGAAGAAACTCTTTACCCACCCTAAAAGTAAGCTAAGCCAATGGGAATGAGTTCATTCGCACCAAGAGCCTCTTTTGAGCTGCTATCCCCTAAGACTAAAAATATAACACAGCAGAAGCAATCCATTGAAGTTGATCTAGATAAAATGACGGATTAAAAATTTAAGGCTATTGGTTAGAAAAGGCATAAAATGCGCAGGACTGATAGTAAGATGAAGATGAATTATGTCCTTTACTCTAAAGCTTAGCATTCCATCCTCAAAGACTATGAAATTGGAGAAGTATGTTCTTAGGGCAATACAGGAGAAACTTGAGTGATTCATCATTTTGATACGAGAAAAATGTATATCCTAAAATCAATTAGTCTTTCGAATCTTGAGAGGGACTAAATTAATGAACTAAATAGAAATCTGAGCATCCTGATAAAGATGAGTCATCCAAATATCCCTAAATTTTATCAATATAGCTAAGAACTGAACTTTATGTACATTATAATGGAATACATTGATGGAGGGGAACTCCTAGATAGGCTAATAAGTGTAAAGTAGCTCAGTGAAAAGATTGTAGCTCAAATAACCAAGTAGATACTATCTGCTATTAATTATGCAAAGTCACTTGGAGTATAACATCTTGATCTTAAGCCAGAAAATTTGCTTCTGGATAGTTGATATCAGATGAGACTAAAGATTTTGGACTTTGGATTAAACAGCTTTGTAGGATCATAAAAATATGCAAAGGTGAAAAAAGGTTCTGTAAGATTAATATAGATTTTTAATAGTTGTTTTGTTAGGCCTACTATTTGCCTCCAGAATTACTGAAAAGACAAATTCATAAAAATTCTGATGTTTGGGCTTGTGGAGTTATTCTCCACATTTTGCTTAGTGGATATCCGCCATTTTGTGGGAGAGATGAGTATGAAATTCTTTAAAGGGTAAAATCAGGATCTTACTCATTGAAAGCAGTTGAATGGAAAAATATCACTAAGGAAGGCAAGAAACTAATAGAAAAGATTCTGGTTGTGGATCCAAATCATCGCTATACTGTTTAGTAATGTATGAAAGACAAATGGTTTGAGCTTTAAGAATAGCAACATGGAATTGGGAGAATAATCACTGTCGATTGCATCAATAACTTAAGATCTTTCTGTGTAAGTGCTCCTTTTTAATTTAGGTTTTACTGAAATAAAAGTTAATTTACTCTATTTTTACGCTTTTTATTTAGTCTGAATAAAAACTACAATCTGCAGTTGTTAATTACCTAGCCAACAAGGAATAAAATTTGGCTATGAATAAGGAACTATAGAAAATATTTGAGTAATTTGATGTAAACATGGATGGAATACTTTCTCATGAGGAATTGATAATGGGCTATTAAAAAATGCTGGGTTGTTCTAGAAGAGCCTAAGTCTAAGTAGATTTTATACTGACGAAGATAGGGGCTAAACCTAAGTCAGAAATAGACTATCATGAATTCCTTAAGGCCAATATAAAATTAGAACATGAAGTGACAGATAGTAAACTACGAGCTGCTTTCAATTTATTTGATATTGATGGAAACGGAAGTATAACATTGGATGAAATTTAGTATCTGTTAGGAGGGTAAGAAGATGTTGAGGATCAAGTTTGGATTGATCTCGTTATGACTGCCGATTAAGATGGTGATGGGGAAATTACTTTTGAAGAGTTTAAGAAAATGATGTATGTAATGTATCTTAATAAGGAAATACGCTGATTTCTAAAGATGAATTAACTAAGTAAATGATAAAAATATAGATATATTAAGGACAACTTGTAAATAGAATTCACAATTAATTTAATTTTATCCTGTCTAATATTAATCTTAGATTACATTGATCTCAATTCAGCTTAAATTGTTGAAACCAGGGGTTTTGGGGTTTTGGGGTTTTGGGGAGATCGGAAGAGCACACGTCTGAAC